GGCCTCGCCGACACCCACGTCTGCGTGTACGACAGCGCCAACAAGGCCACCGGAGCATGCAACGTAAGTGGAGACACATTCATCAAGTTTATATTTACTGACCGACTCATTCCCATGAAGTAAAACTGACGTCAACGAGGCTCACTCACTCACTCACTCAGCCACACCAATCACGCACTCCCCAATACCCCAATCACACACACCCAAATACTTCAATCACACACCCCAATCACACACACCGCAATGCCCTAATCACACACTCCAATCACACACACACCAATACCCCAATCACACACCCCAACCACACACACCAATACCGAATCACACACACCCAAATACCTCAATCACACACCCCAATCACACACACCGCAATGCCCTAATCACACACCCCTATCCGACACTCCCCAATACCCCAATCACACACACCCAAATACCCCAATCACACGCCCCTATCCCACACACACCAATACCCAATCACACACCCCTATCCCACACACACCAATACCCCAATCACACACACCCAACTACCTCAATCACACACCCCAATCACACACACCGCAATGCCCTAATGACACACCCCTATCCCACACATCCCAATGCCCCAATCACACACCCCTTTCCCACACACACCAATACTCCAATCACACACACCCAATACCCAATCACACACCCCAATCACACACACATTTCAATGCCCCAATCACAAACACCCCAATCGCACACCCCAATACCCCAATCTCACAACCAAATCACACACCCCAATCACATCCACACCCCAATACCGCAATCACACACACAAATCACACACACCCCAATACCCCAATCACAAACCCCAATACCTAATCACACACCCCGATTACACCCACCCCAATACCCCGATCACAGACTCCAATCCCACACACCCTAATACACCAATTACACACCCCAATCACACACACCCCAATACCCTAATCACACACCCTAATAACCCAATCACAAATCAAATTACACCCAACCCAATACCCCAATCACACACCCCAATCACGCCCACCCCAATACCCCAATTACACACACCCTAATTCCCAGATCCCATCGCACTATTGAATTACTTGGTAGAAGGTCCTGCCATTAATCAGTAGTTCATCAATGCCTTTCACTCTGTTTTACTTGACGAACATATGCGTCAGTAGTTTCAACAGTCTTGACCTCTCCTCTCCTTTATTGAACTTATCACGTTTCACTCGCCACATCGTGAATAGTGTTACGTTCCATGTGAAGCATCTGCCACAATGTTGCGGGAAACCTACTCTGCACATTGCCCCAATAACGGGTAACAGTACCGTTCGCACAAAATCCGTGTGTGCAGTTTGAATTGAATTGATTTGAATTCTAAATTCTAAATTATTGACGGTCTCATTTCGTCATAAATATAGAGTGCGGTGGGATAGCCTAGTGGTTAAAGCGTTCGCTCGTCACATCGAAGACCTGGGTTCTATTCCCCACACCCAATGCCCATTGCTGGTGTCCCCCGCCGTGATATTCTGGAATATTGCTAAAGCGGCGTAAAACCCAACTCACTCACTCACTCATAAATATAGAAGCATTTTAACTCCTCATATCGGCCGCACGTATTAACAGGTCAAGGGTGTATTATTGTTTCATTGGTGTTTAGTCAGTATCTCCTCTGTTGCCAGGGAGACAGCGGGGGCCCCCTGGTGTGTAGGTCAAACGGTGAATACACCCTGATTGGCGTCACCTCCTGGGGTCTGTCCGGCTGCGCCACAGACGCCCCCAGCGTCTACACCAGAGTCTCCAAGTTCCTCGACTTCATCAGGAGCAACTCCGACGCGTAACCGTGTAACCATGGAAACAAATAAAACATTTTCCTGACAATGCTGTTGTGTAACCATAAAACAATTGACTGATATCTTCCGTCAAGCCTTTACATGTGCATCAGTTGGCGGACATGACTATACATCCATGGGCTTAGCATTAGGTACAGCCTTGGAGCAAGGTTACCATTCCTTGTGCGCTTCAGAAACCTATTATCAATTGCCCTTGCAGTTGTCATATGGAGTAGCCTAGTGGTTAAAGCGTTCGCTCGTCATGCATAATATCCGGGTTCGATTCCCCATATGGCTACAATGTGTGAAGCTCATTTCTGGTGTCCCCATCTTGATATTGCTTGAATATTGCTAAAAGTGGCATAAAACTTTGATCCGGTTATGTTTCTCGTTTTATCATCACCAAACTACACCGTACTTTCTTTTTGCCAAACCGGCTCAGGGTCTTAGATTTCGAGCTTTTCTCCATACACAGTCGACTATGGAATCCGAGAAAGGACATTGTCGCGTTGTCGCATTGTCGCCCTCTCCAATACAAATAAACTGAGGCAAAATAAACCAAAACGCGACACGCGACACGCGACACACGACAACGCGACAACGCGACATTTCGCTCATTTGTCACATTGTCGCGATGTCGCGTTTTGGTTAATTTTGCCTTATTTTGCTTGTATTTGAGAGGGCGACAACGCGACAATGCGACAACGCAACAATGTCCCTTCCAGGATTCAATGGTGGACACACTGAATAACTGTAATTGTGTTTCAAGGCGGTGTTCAATCCAACTAACTCAACCTGGAGCCAGTTACAGTGGCTCACAGTGACCTAAACAGATACATATCACGACACAATATTCAGAACAAGGTCACGTGGCAGTGAGTGTTTGAGTTTAGTTTTACGCCGCACTCAGCAAAATTCCAGCTAACATGATGGCGGCGGTCTGTAAGTAGTAGAGTATGGACCAGACAATCCAGTGATCAACATCATGTTCATTGATCTACGCAGTTGGGATACGATGAAATGTGTCAACCCAGTCAGCGAGCCTGATCACCCGATCCCGTTAGTCGCCTCTTCCGACAAGCACGGGTTACTCAAGATCAATTGTAACCTGGACCTTCAAGGGTAGGTGACACAGCAACAACAATACATGACCAAACCAGGGGGCGGTGGGGTAGCCCAGTGGTAAAGTGTCCGCTCGTTACGCCGAAGGCCCGGATTCGATTCTCCACGCAGGGACAATGTGTGAAGCCCATTTTTGGTGTCCCCCGCCGTGATCTTGCCAAAATATTGCTAAAAGCTGCGAATAACTAAATTCACTTACTGTTCTGTTGGGTCTATGTTTTGTTGTCTTTCTGCATACATCAAGGGTATTTCCTTCGAAAAGATCAAAACTTCCTTTTTTTCACTTTTTCAAGTCAAGAACATCACGACACTGCTATGTATAACACATACAGTAGAACTGGCAAATTAGACGAATGTGTTTTGCAGTGCAATGTAATATATGCATAGCACTTATCTGTGTTGCTAAAGAGAGTAAGCCGAGTATCGATATACTTTACTTTATATACTCTCCCAAAAAAGAAACGCATCATGAAAATAGCAATTTCAGGTAGCGATGAATTAAAACGTGATTCATTTTACAAAAGGTTTTGCTCTGTTTATGAGTCCTATGGTGTTTATGTTTTGAAACATCACAACAAAACGCACCATCCGTAAAATACCCGTATTTAACAGCATGATTTTCAATTTCGGCATGTAGTGTCACAGAATACACAATTCACATGCAATGCACTTCGAAGTTCGGGATCAGATAGTCTCAGTGACGGGTATAAAAGGTTGATCGCTGTCTGTCGATTATTTACTGTATTTGGAATATTGTTGACGAACGCAAAATGCCACGTCTAAGTGAAGTCAACCGTCATATCACCATTGGTTGCCCAATGCAGTTGCCCGACGCATGAATGTTCACCAAAGCACCATTTCACGGCTCTGGGAGAGATATCGCCGGCAGAATGCGGTAGCAGATGCCCCTCGTAGTGGGAGACCTCGAGCGACCACTGCGGCGCAGGATCGCTACATCCGGGTACATCACCTGCGTCATCGAACAGCTACGGCGACCAGTACCGCTCGACAAATACCCGGATTGAGGAGGCTTTCTGCACAGACCGTCAGGAACGGGTTGAGAGAGGCTGGTTTACGTGCCAGAAGACCTTATTTTAGCCCTGTGCTTCGACGACAACATCGTCGACGGATGCGACGCCGTAACCCTCAGCCCCAGACACTTCAGCAACTCGCACAGGCACTACAGGCAGAGTGGGCTCCGATTGGGCAACACGAGATTCTGAGATTTATTCGTTCAATGCCGGGGCGGTGGGGTAGCCTAGTGGTTAAAGCGGTGGCTCGTCACGCCGAAGACCCGGGTTCGAATCCCCACATGGATACAATGTGTGAAGCCCATTTCTGGTGACCCCCGCCGTGATGTTGCTGGAATATTGCTAAAATCGGCGTAAAACCAAACTCAGTCAAGCAGGCAGTCGTTCAATGCCGAGGCGATGCCGTGCAGTTCTGGATGCCCACGGTGGTCACACGAGATATTGACTTCAGCGCCACCACATGTCTCCATGTGACACTCAAACTGACTTTCCTCGAGTTGGTGCCAAAGACGGATAAGTCTGCAGTCCCAGTGTGCAATTTCGCTATATTTCATTGACTCATAAAGCCTACAAGATGTTTCAAAATAAACATTAAAATACAGTTGAAATTCCTATATGCGTTTCCTTTTTGGGAGAGTATATGATATACCAGACACTAAATGTCACTCAATGAGACACTCATGGGGTTGGTTGCGTATACAGACGCTGACAGATGCTATGGATTAAAGTGCATCTTCAAGTACCAAATTGCCTAATTAATTCATGGCCAAACAAAAAATTGCACACACAATTTCGTTGACTTTCTGAGAGAATATTTTTGCATTGTTACACCAATGACAAATTTAAATTGTCTACATGTATCCGACCTAGTGATACCAGGTCTAGGTCATGTGACTTTAGGAAACCGACAGATGCTGTGGATTCAAGTGCATCACTGTACATATCAAATGTTCCACGTGTCTTGTGAACGCTGCACCTGCAGGCTTCAGGTGTTGATATATAGGGAAGGGGAGTGATTGTTGTCGGCGTCTTACCTTCATCATGCTGCTGTGTCTCCTTCTCGCTGTCTCCGTAGCCTACACTGGTGAGTACAAATACCTTCACCCAATACCTAGTAGTCATGACAGTTTATAAAACCTCCAAGTTAAGTTGGTACTATTCTTTCAAAGGAAACTAACGACCAGGATGAGGTTTTATGTTTTCTTTGTAAGACCGGGTATGATGAGGTTTTACGTTTTCTTTGTAAGGCTGAGTATGATGAGGTTTTATGTTTTCTTTGAGAGACTGTATATGATGAGGTTTTACGTTTTCTTTGTAAGACCGGGTATGATGAGGTTTTACGTTTTCTTTGTAAGACCGGGTATGATGAGGTTTTACGTTTTCTTTGTAAGACCGGGTATGATGAGGTTTTACGTTTTCTTTGTAAGACCGGGTATGATGAGGTTTGACGTTTTACGTTTCTTTGTAAGACCGGGTATGATGAGGTTTTACGTTTTCTTTGTAAGACCGGGTATGATGAGGTTTTACGTTTTCTTTGTAAGACCGGGTATGATGAGGTTTTACGTTTTCTTTGTAAGACCGGGTATGATGAGGTTTTACGTTTTCTTTGTAAGACCGGGTATGATGAGGTTTTACGTTTTCTTTGTAAGACCGGGTATGATGAGGTTTTACGTTTTCTTTGTAAGACCGGGTATGATGAGGTTTTACGTTTTCTTTGTAAGACCGGGTATGATGAGGTTTTACGTTTTCTTTGTTTTCTTTGTAAGACCGTAAGGTATGATGAGGTTTTATGTTTTCTTTGTAAGACCGGGTATGATGAGGTTTTACGTTTTCTTTGTAAGACCGGGTATGATGAGGTTTTACGTTTTCTTTGTAAGACCGGGTATGATGAGGTTTTACGTTTTCTTTGTAAGACCGGGTATGATGAGGGTTTTACGTTTTCTTTGTAAGACCGGGTATGATGAGGTTTTACGTTTTCTTTGTAAGACCGGGTATGATGAGGTTTTACGTTTTCTTTGTAAGACCGGGTATGATGAGGTTTTTATGTTTTCTTTGTAAGACCGGGTATGATGAGGTTTTACGTTTTCTTTGTAAGACCGGGTATGATGAGGTTTTACGTTTTCTTTGTAAGACCGGGTATGATGAGGTTTTATGTTTTCTTTGTAAGACCGGGTATGATGAGGTTTTATGTTATGATGAGGTTTATGTTTTCTTTGTAAGACCGGGTATGATGAGGTTTTACGTTTTCTTTGTAAGACCGGGTATGATGAGGTTTTACGTTTTCTTTGTAAGACCGGGTATGATGAGGTTTTACGTTTTCTTTGTAAGACCGGGTATGATGAGGGTTCTCTTTTACGTTTTCTTTGTAAGACCGGGTATGATGAGGTTTTACGTTTTCTTTGTAAGACCGGGTATGATGAGGTTTTACGTTTTCTTTGTAAGACCGGGTATGATGAGGTTTTACGTTTTCTTTGTAAGATCGGGTATGATGAGGTTTTACGTTTTCTTTGTAAGACCGGGTATGATGAGGTTTTACGTTTTCTTTGTAAGACCGGGTATGATGAGGTTTTACGTTTTCTTTGTAAGACCGGGTATGATGAGGTTTTACTGGGTATGATGAGGTTTTACGTTTCTTTGTAAGACCGGGTATGATGAGGTTTACGTTTTCTTTGTAAGACCGGGTATGATGAGGTTTTACGTTTTCTTTGTAAGACCGGGTATGATGAGGTTTTACGTTTTCTTTGTAAGACTAGGTATGATGAGGTTTTATGTTTTCTTTGTAAGACCGGGTATGATGAGGTTTTACGTTTTCTTTGTAAGACCGGGTATGATGAGGTTTTATGTTTTCTTTGTAAGACCGGGTATGATGAGGTTTTACGTTTTCTTTGTAAGACCGGGTATGATGAGGTTTTACGTTTTCTTTGTAAGACCGGGTATGATGAGGTTTTATGTTTTCTTTGTAAGACCGGGTATGATGAGGTTTTACGTTTTCTTTGTAAGACCGGGTATGATGAGGTTTTATGTTTTCTTTGTAAGACCGGGTATGATGAGGTTTTATGTTTTCTTTGTAAGACCGGGTATGATGAGGTTTTACGTTTTCTTTGTAAGACCGGGTATGATGAGGTTTTACGTTTTCTTTGTAAGACCGGGTATGATGAGGTTTTACGTTTTCTTTGTAAGACCGGGTATGATGGTCTTTGTAAGATGTATGATGAGGTTTTACGTTTTCTTTGTAAGACCGGGTATGATGAGGTTTTATGTTTTCTTTGTAAGACCGGGTATGATGAGGTTTTACGTTTTCTTTGTAAGACCGGGTATGATGAGGTTTTACGTTTTCTTTGTAAGACCGGGTATGATGATGAGGTTTTACGTTTTCTTTGTAAGACCGGGTATGATGAGGTTTTACGTTTTCTTTGTAAGACCGGGTATGATGAGGTTTTACGTTTTCTTTGTAAGACCGGGTATGATGAGGTTTTACGTTTTCTTTGTAAGACCGGGTATGATGAGGTATGATGAGGATTTTACGTTTTCTTTGTAAGACCGGGTATGATGAGGTTTTATGTTTTCTTTGTAAGACCGGGTATGATGAGGTTTTATGTTTTCTTTGTAAGACCGGGTATGATGAGGTTTTACGGGTATGATGAGGTTTTTTTTTTCTTTGTAAGATCGGGTATGATGAGGTTTTACGTTTTCTTTGTAAGACCGGGTATGATGAGGTTTTACGTTTTCTTTGTAAGACCGGGTATGATGAGGTTTTATGTTTTCTTTATAAGACCGGGTATGATGAGGTTTTACGTTTTCTTTGTAAGACCGGGTATGATGAGGTTTTACGTTTTCTAGGTAAGGCTGGGTATGATGAGGTTTTACGTTTTCTTTGTAAGACAAGGTATGATGAGGTTTTACGTTTTCTAGGTAAGGCTGGGTATGATGACATGGAAAGATATAGAATGTGATGGTAGTTAGTCTGTCATACAGACCCTGGAACAAATGTATCCAGTGTAGCCAATGCAAGTCTAGAATGTGTGACAAGTCAGAACTAACACGTGTTCAGGAAATTATATAAAGTCTCTGCGCTCCTTTATATTTTAATGTATTTCAAAAACCCTTCTTTTCCTATAAAATGTTTCAGAGACTAACTGTTGTTGCAAATGTAAGCGAATAATGATGTTACTGCTATCGTTCAGTCGGTGCCCCCGCCGAACGTATCGTTGGGGGATCGGACGCTGACCCTCATTCCTGGCCGTCTCAGCTTTCTCTCCGACGACAGGGAAGTCACATCTGTGGGGCGTCCATCCTGACAGCAAACTACGCCTTGACCGCTGCCCACTGTGTTGATGGACAGTGAGTAACACCTCGGAATATAACTGTTCAGGAATCGTCAAAACCTCAATTGTAGATTCACAATATCAGACACTCTTCCGTCCTGTTAATAGTTGTAAATTTTAGGAATTGAAAGATTGTAGATCACAATATCAGACACTCCCCTGTACTGTTAATAATTGTAAATGTTAGGAATTGAAAGATTGTAGATCACAATATCAGACACTCCCCTGTACTGTTAATATTTGTAAATTTTAGGAATTGAGGGATTGTAGATCACAATATCAGACTCTCCTCTGTTCTGCTAATATTTGTAGATACTAGGAATTGAAGGATTGTAGATCACAATATCAGACTCTCCTCTGTATTTGTAGATTTTAGGAATAGAAAACGTTTCGATAGTTCTTAGGTCGCAGTGATCCATGATCCCATTTTGATAACTGTTGTGTCTGAGTGAATCCAAGCATACACCTGTAGCAGTTACATGGAGCAGTTAACATGTAAGACCTTATCTCTGTTGGAGAAATGTTGACATGGGTTGCTATGTCTGGTTGTCTGGAAAATGGAGAGTTTGCGTTAATGAAATCTGTTTTGCAGGAAAGGAGGTAGGACCTTTTCGGGACACTTGAAATCTGAGATAGATTTAATGTGCCTCGGGCATCTATCTTCATCATTGATGAGTGTGTATAATGTTACGCCGCTTTTAGCAATATTCCAGCAATATCACGGCGGGGTCACCAGAAATGGGCTTCACACATTGTGCCAGTGTGGGGAATCGAACCCTGGTCTTCAGCGTGATGGGCGGGCGTTTTAACCATGAGGCTACCCCGCCGCCCCTATCAGCCTTTTGTCTTTCATGCTCCTGCTGATTTTGAAATTACCTGTTGCAGAAATGACAGACATTTTGGAGGAAACTAACGAGTAAATGAGTGACCTTGTACTGTGCTTCCTTTACCTATACTCCATTCTTGTCACGATGGAACACGTACGTGAGATCCGTGCTGGATTCGAACCCAGACAACAGTCGCTGAGTGCAATCGCCTTACCCTCAAGGTTATTTCACACCACAGAACGAAGTATCAGTAACGAAACGAAAAATAAGATTCTTCATAATCATGTTTTTTTTAATTAATTTATTTTCATTTTATTTTCGTACAGAGTTCCATCCGACATGTCAATCGTGGCAGGTGGACACAGTCTTCAGAATCCATCAGACTACCAACAGCAAATCGCCGTAACCTACGTCATGGTATGTTTGTTTGGTTTTGTTGGTTTGTAGTTTTACACCGCACTCACCAATAATACAGCTATATAGCGGTCTGTGAACAATCGAGTGTGAACCAGGCAATCCAGTGATCAACATCATGAGTATCGATCAACGTTATTGTGAACCAAGTCAGCGAGTCTGACCAACCGCTTTAGGGGACTGGAATATTGTGAGGTGACGAGACGAATTATTGTAAATGGCGGCTTTACCGTTTTTTAACAAGAGCGTCCCCGTTTGTACAAACGAGCAAAGCAACTTCAGGGCCATTTACAGTATTTCGTCTCGTAAACTCACACTAACAGCATTCCTGTTCCCCTCAGTCACAAGCACTATCTTAATCAAGACAAGGTTAATGTGTTAGCCTGGCCCTCACAATCCCCCGATTCGCCTGCTGGATGAAATGGTGCGACGTTTGTGACATCATCCGAATGCTCCATCAACGCTGCAGAAACTCCACCAATTCCTTCCGCGGCATAATCTTCCAAAGGACTTTCATCGATATTTAGTGGCCTCGATGAGGGAGGGAGTGAGTTTGGTTTTATGCCGCTTTTAGCAATATTCCAGCAATATCAAGAAGGGGGACACCAGAAATGGGCTTCACACAATGTACCCATTTTGGGAATCGAACCCAGGTCTTCGGCATGACGAACGAACACTTTAACCACTAGGCTACCCCACCGCCCCTGGCCTCGATGAGGCGAAGGTGCTAGGCCTGCGTCAATGGACAAGGTTGACACATTGACCATGCTTTTGCCATCGTATGGTTTACTTATGTAAGCAAATGTGTCAGAAAAATATGACAGGTAACGTTTTACATAAAATGTAATTTTTTAAAGAAATCTAATCGTAAGAGGTCGTTCATTATTGTGTGATTGTAAGTAAAAATACACAAATACACTAAGATGGTATGAAAAGGCAACAAGATGTAAATGTACCTGACATAAGATTACTTTTAATCAAAGCGAACCTTCAATATTACAAAATGTAAAATTGATCGTTTTGGCTTATCCTTTGATTGTTTTGAGTGTTTGGGAGTTATGTTGCTTGTTTTTTCACTTTGTTTTGGGGGTTTTTGGGGGTATTTTGCTTTGGTTATATTTTGGGGATTGTTATGTGTTTGTTTTGCTTTGGGGTGTTTGTTTTTACGGGTTTGTTCTTGTTTTGTTTTGTTTGCTGATGTTTTTGTTTGATGGGGGTTTTTTTGCTTACAACTAACAAACATCAGTAAAAGAAATTCAAAAGTATATCCGTCAAAATAAATACAATTCCACAGTGGAATCACCAGCTGTAAATGTTGAGCGTTATTGCCATCGCAAAAGGAACGACACACAGGAAAACAGTATTGATTTCACAGCATATACAGAGTATGTACAAACTTTCAAATCACCGCTTTTCGTTTAGTGATATGTGTACAATTACAGCACCCGAGTTACAATGGCGACGCCCTCGGTTTCCCGAATGACATTGCTATTCTGAAACTGGCGAGTCCCCTGGAATGGAATGACGGCGTTCAACCGGCAAATCTGGTTCCCGACGACTCAAAGGATTTTGCAGGGGAGAGTGACTGCTTCATCACCGGATGGGGAAAACTTGGAGGTGAGAACTTTACAGTCCCTTTGTTTTGTTGTCCGTGGAGTAGGGGATAGAGCGTCTGCCTGGAGAGCAGAAGGTCGGTGGTTATAAGAAAAATTAAATTACATTTGTGACGTCATTCCATTGTCTGCTCGCTCCAGTACCTTTCAGGAATGGAGCGATGTGTACCAGTTTCAAATTTAAGACTTCATTTTGTCATTTTATCATTAAATTTTGATAACAGAAATATTACCAATACTTTGAATGTAATTTAAGTAGGGTAATATCCTCGTCACTCTCCATTTCTTAAAAATAATGGGCCTCGGCCCCTCCTGGGCCTCTGCTCCCTTATTTTTAAGGAATGGAGAGTTACCCGGACATTACCCTCTACATAATTTTACAGACGGTACTTGTTAACCGGCCTGGCGCTCAGCTGTGTCATGGGTACATTGTGTGAAGCCCATTTCTGGTGTCCCCTGCCGTGATATTACTGGAATATTGCTGAAAGCGGAGGAAATCTAAACTCACTCATTCACTCATTTGTGTTATACCACAAGATGTTAACAGATGGTACTTGTTGTACCCTACCTGGCACTCAGCTGTGTCATACCAAAAGATGTAAAGATAAGGTACTTGTTGTACTCTACCTGGCACTCAGCTACGTCATACCAAAAGATGTTAACATATGGTACTTGTTGTACCATACCTGGCGCTCAGCTGTGTCATACCAAAAGATGTTAACATATGGTACTTGTTGTTCCTGACCTGGCGCTCAGCTACGTCATACCAAAAGATGTTAACATATGGTACATGGTGTACCCTACCTGGCGCTCAGCTACGTCATACCAAAAGATGTTAAGATATGGTACTTGGTGTACCCTACCTGGCGCTCGGCTACGTCATACCAAAAGATGTTAACAAATGGTACTTGTTGTTAACCGGCCTGGCGCTCAGCTGTGTGGTACTAAAAGATGTTAACATATGGTACTTGTTGTTAACCGGCCTGTCCCCCAGCGGTGAAGGGATCAAACAGGGACAAGGCTCGAAATCGGCATTTAATTGAAGTGTATTGCGAAAGGTGTATCAGTGACGTAACCATAGTGAAGTGTTGCAATTATGCCGGGGACCTAGGGCTACAAAAAGGTACATGGCGGTTTGTTTACATACCGCTGTCTTACAGTTTGTTTGTTGTGTTCGTTTGTTCGTTCGTTCGTTCGTTCGTTCGTTCGTTTGTTTGTTTGTTTGTTTAACGTCGCACTCTGCAATGTTGTATCATTGTTCCTTTAACTGGTTAAATGCATGTTCAGTAATAGTTTATTCTTGCAACCAACCGATATGTATGTATTACCATTTTGTGTATCATGCATTAGTACATTATAATGATGTAAACATGCACCTCTAATGCCACGGAACGCGGTCGGGGTGTAAATAAAGTTCAGTTCGGTGCATGTAAGATCACTTCAGGTAAGCTATATGACGCCGGTCTGTAAACAATCGTGCCTGGACCAGACAGTCTAGTGATTAACATGTGCTAAATTGAACTACGATGACATGCATCAAGTAGGTCAGTGAGCTTGACCACCCGATCCCGCTCTTGGCATGAGCTCTGGTGTCAACAAACACTCACCATTTATGACACTTGTGTCAGAGGTAGGTGCTACAGGAACGGCAGGAGATGCTTTTCGCTGATCTTCAGTACTTTCAGCTACCTTTCAACATCTGATATTGGTCATTTAGGATCTGAATCCGGCCTGCCCGACATTCTTCAAGAAGTTCAGACCGACGTCGTGACCAACAGCGCGTGCAAAAGTGCCCTCGGCTTCTTCCCTGGCCTCGGCCTCTCCGCCAACCACGTCTGCGTTTACGACAGCGTCAACAAGGCCACCGGAGCATGCAACGTAAGTGGAGACACATTCGTCAAGTTTCTATTTATTGACGAACTCATTCACCTGAAGCTAACAGGAATATCATCAATTCTGGGGGCGTAGGGGTAGCCTAGTGGTTAAAGCGTTGGTCGTCACGCCTAAGACCCGGGTCCGATTCCCCACATGGGTACAATGTGTGAAGCCCATTTCTGGTGTACCTCGCTGTGATATTGCTGGAATATTGCAAAAAGTGGCGTAAAACTAATATCACTCTCTCACTCATCAGCATTAATGTCGTCCATTTCCGCTCACTTGCGGAGAATTTCGGAGAAGGATGTCAGACAAGGAGTGTTGTTGTTGCCAAGCCATATTGACATTAGGAAGTTATTGATATTTCAATTGTTGTTGGGATATCTTGAATTCTGTTGAAAATATCTTGAACTGAAATGAAAATGTCTTGAATTTAATTAATATTTCTTGAAATAAATCACAGTTATATTAGAATTTAAACAATTATACATATCTGCAATATGACTCATGTTAGCACAAACTGGATTGTCCATGAGAATCCTTTATTTGCATTGCAGGTGAATCCTTAACGCTTGTGTGTGTTTTATTGGTGTTTAATGAGTTTCTCCTCTGTTGCCAGGGAGACAGCGGTGGCCCCCTGGTGTGTAGGTCAAACGGTGAATACACCCTGATTGGCGTCACCTCCTGGGGTCTGTCCGGCTGCGCCACAAACGCCCCCAGCGTCTACACCAGAGTCTCCAAGTTCCTCGACTTCATCAGGAACAACTCCGACGCGTAACCGTGTAACCATGGAAACAAATAAAACATTTTCCTGACAAAGCTGTTGTGTAACCATAAAACAATTGACTGATATCTTCCGTCAAGCCCTTACATATGCATCAGTTACAATTTGGGGGCAGGGCTGTCTTTTTGGCTTGTACAGTGGGTCTTCATGTTGGGCTTGTACAGTGGGTCTTCATGTTGGGCTTGTACAGTGGGTCTTCATGTTGGGCTTGTACAGTGGGTCTTCATGTTGGGCTTGTACAGTGGGTCTTCATGTTGGGCTTGTACAGTGGGTCTTCATGTTGGGCTTGTACAGTGGGTCTTCATGTTGGGCTTGTACAGTGGGTCTTCATGTTGGGCTTGTACAGTGGGTCTTCATGTTGGGCTTGTACAGTGGGTCTTCATGTTGGGCTTGTACAGTGGGTCTTCATGTTGGGCTTGTACAGTGGGTCTTCATGTTGGGCTTGTACAGTGGGTCTTCATGTTGGGCTTGTACAGTGGGTCTTCATGTTGGGCTTGTACAGTGGGTCTTCATGTTGGGCTTGTACAGTGGGTCTTCATGTTGGGCTTGTACAGTGGGTCTTCATGTTGGGCTTGTACAGTGGGTCTTCATGTTGGGCTTGTACAGTGGGTCTTCATGTTGGGCTTGTACAGTGGGTCTTCATGTTGGGCTTGTACAGTGGGTCTTCATGTTGGGCTACAGTGTACAGTGGGTCTTCATGTTGGGCTTGTACAGTGGGTCTTCATGTTGGAGGCTTGTACAGTGGGTCTTCATGTTGGGCTTGTACAGTGGGTCTTCATGTTGGGCTTGTACAGTGGGTCTTCATGTTTGGGCTTGTACAGTGGGTCTTCATGTTGGGCTTGTACAGTGGGTCTTCATGTTGGGCTTGTACAGTGGGTCTTCATGTTGGGCTTGTACAGTGGGTCTTCATGTTGGGCTTGTACAGTGGGTCTTCATGTTGGGCTTGTACAGTGGGTCTTCATGTTGGGCTTGTACAGTGGGTCTTCATGTTGGGCTTGTACAGTGGGTCTTCATGTTGTACAGTGGGTCTTCATGTTGGGCTTGTACAGTGGGTCTTCATGTTGGGCTTGTACAGTGGGTCTTCAGTGTTGGGCTTGTACAGTGGGTCTTCATGGGCTTGTACAGTGGGTCTTCATGTTGGGCTTGTACAGTGGGTCTTCATGTTGGGCTTGTACAGTGGGTCTTCATGTTGGGCTTGTACAGTGGGTCTTCATGTTGGGCTTGTACAGTGGGTCTTCATGTTGGGCTTGTACAGTGGGTCTTCATGTTGGGCTTGTACAGTGGGTCTTCATGTTGGGCTTGTACAGTGGGTCTTCATGTTGGGCTTGTACAGTGGGTCTTCATGTTGGGCTTGTACAGTGGGTCTTCATGTTGGGGCTTGTACAGTGGGTCTTCATGTTGGGCTTGTACAGTGGGTCTTCATGTTGGGCTTGTACAGTGGGTCTTCATGTTGGGCTTGTACAGTGGGTCTTCATGTTGGGCTTGTACAGTGGGTCTTCATGTTGGGCTTGTACAGTGGGTCTTCATGTTGGGCTTGTACAGTGGGTCTTCATGTTGGGCTTGTACAGTGGGTCTTCATGTTGGGCTTGTACAGTGGGTCTTCATGTTGGGCTTGTACAGTGGGTCTTCATGTTGGGCTTGTACAGTGGGTCTTCATGTTGGGCTTGTACAGTGGGTCTTCATGTTGGGCTTGTACAGTGGGTCTTCATGTTGGGCATGTACAGTGGGTCTTCATGTTGGGCTTGTACAGTGGGTCTTCATGTTGGGCTTGTACAGTGGGTCTTCATGTTGGGCTTGTACAGTGGGTCTTCATGTTGGGCTTGTACAGTACAGTGGTCTTCATGTTGGGCTTGTACAGTGGGTCTTCATGTTGGGCTTGTACAGTGGGTCTTCATGTTGGGCTTGTACAGTGGGTCTTCATGTTGGGCTTGTACAGTGGGTCTTCATGTTGGGCATGTTGGGCTTGTACAGTGGGTCTTCATGTTGGGCTTGTACAGTGGGTCTTCAGTGTTGTTGGGCTTGTACAGTGGGTCTTCATGTTGGGCTTGTACAGTGGGTCTTCATGTTGGGCTTGTACAGTGGGTCTTCATGTTGGGCTTGTACAGTGGGTCTTCATGTTGGGCTTGTACAGTGGGTCTTCATGTTGGGCTTGTACAGTGGGTCTTCATGTTGGGCTTGTACAGTGGGTCTTCATGTTGGGCTTGTACAGTGGGTCTTCATGTTGGGCTTGTACAGTGGGTCTTCATGTTGGGCTTGTACAGTGGGTCTTCATGTTGGGCTTGTACAGTGGGTCTTCATGTTGGAGGCTTGTACAGTGGGTCTTCATGTTGGGCTTGTACAGTGGGTCTTCATGTTGGGCTTGTACAGTGGGTCTTCATGTTGGGCTTGTACAGTGGGTCTTCATGTTGGGCTTGTACAGTGGGTCTTCATGTTGGGCTTGTACAGTGGGTCTTCATGTTGGGCTTGTACAGTGGGTCTTCATGTTGGGCTTGTACAGTGGGTCTTCATGTTGGGCTTGTACAGTGGGTCTTCAGTGGGGTACAGTTCATGTTGTAGGCTTGTACAGTGGGTCTTCATGTTGGGCTTGTACAGTGGGTCTTCATGTTGGGCTTGTACAGTGGGTCTTCATGTTGGGCTTGTTGGGCTTGTACAGTGGGTCTTCATGTTGGGCTTGTACAGTGGGTCTTCATGTTGGGCTTGTACAGTGGGTCTTCATGTTGGGCTTGTACAGTGGGTCTTCATGTTGGGCTTGTACAGTGGGTCTTCATGTTGGGCTTGTACAGTGGGTCTTCATGTTGGGCTTGTACAGTGGGTCTTCATGTTGGGCTTGTACAGTGGGTCTTCATGTTGGTAATCGAAAAAGGAAACAAATTTCAACTGCCATTTTTTTTCGTTATTGTTTCACACATAAAAATCACATTTTATAGCATTCTCTACTTCATTTAATGATCTTAAAATCTTCGACAAACAGATTCGATAACCTATTTGTTCTGCACTAGCCCGAAGTTGAACAGGTGATTTATCATCCTACTGATAAATACAACAATATGTCATAGATAACGACCGTAAATATGCAATGTGAGGTTGATCACGTGTCCTCGTCATTAAGTATGCCAAGGTCAAGGTTACATTCGGTAACCTGCCAACTTGATAACTGAGAATGGAGGTATGTCTAAAATTCACACATTTAGTATTTGTTGAGTCCGGGTCGGATAAACAGGCGATTGAATTGAACAGCCTCGTTCCAGTTGGTTTTGCTGCACACAATCAATAAAGTCATCGTGCCTTACAATTTAATCGATTACGTCCCGTCTTGCCACGGCAACTGATGGGTGTGGGATCAATCGACACACTTATAACTCAAAAGAACTGAAGGATCACTCGATTATTTTATATTAATGTAGTTAATCCGTCATGAAGGAATCCGGTGACCCTTAACTTCTTAGGATCAGTATAAGAAATAGACAGGGTTGGAAGACATACAAGACAATACAGAATTAGCGTATCCCAATGTAGAGCGCTCCTGGTGTCAATCACTATCTATTGTCTGGTCCAAATTGTTTACAAACCGCTGTCAAATAGCTGTAATATTGCTGAGTGCGGCCAAAAAACAAAAGAACCAATAAACACTACATAATCAGTCATGGTTTAGCCAGATTGCTCTGCTAGTAACAAGGAATGAATGAACTTAAGCCCGCTTTAAACATTACTCTGGTTATATCACAGCGTAACTTGTTTATGTTTGATACAGGGCCCCGATCCACAAAGCGTTCGTAACGTTACGACTGGTGATAGCTTTATAGTTTATCGTAGACTTACGAATGTCGTAGCGTTACGAACGCTCGGTTGATGAGGACCCAAGTCTCAGACGTTTAGCACTTTGACTGAACACAGTGGCACGGCGATACCGCTGACAAACCTAGCAAAATAATATCAGCGAATTCGGATTCGAACCCCCGATCCTGTGCCCAAGGGACACAACTCTCCACAGCGAGCTGTGCCATCTCCCAACTGAAGAGGAGCTGTGAAAACGATGCACCTTACATAAACACACGAACAGTCTATACCGGAAGTAAAGGCTTCACCGATATGAATCATGTGCGTGTTGTGAAATATGATATATCGCTACATTGTCAGATGAGTTTCGAGTTAAGGGGAAGAAGGTCATGCTTTTAAACAAGGAAACAGTCCCGAAGTAAAGTCCAAACGAAGCCGCTTGTGTTGTACAATAGCGGGGCGGTGGGGAAGCATAGTGGTTAATATAAAACGCTGGCTCGTCACGCCGAAGACCCGGGGTCGATTCTCGTCATGGGTACAATGTATGAAGCCCATTTCTGGTATCCCCCGCTGTGATATTGCTGGAATATTGCTAAAAGTGGCGTAAAACTCACTCATTGTACATCAGTGGAAATGTAACTGAATTACGTGAAATATAACTGAGAATATATCACTACACGTAACAAGCATGAAGTTTACACCTTAAGAAATCTCCTTATCGTGATTTGATAGCTAAGAATTAATAACACACAAGCTATTGTCAATATGGATTTGATGAATATATCAATTGTACATAATGCACCACGTGTTGTATTTGGGAATACACGTTCTCAGTGTAGTACAGATTGTAGTATTTTTGTTCGTTTGAGAGTCTGTGTTCGAATCCCGGGTGGGACTCAACCAGTGTGCGAAATGGTTTCCGAATTGTGCTTGCCAGTAGGGCTAGCTATGCGTGAAAGTTACTAGCCCACAAAACAATTCACTACCCCAAAATCTGAATGTAGAAACTAAGCAAAAGATTATGAAAAGGTAAAATACCATCATTTATCAGATCATAATTTTGCATGATTTAAAAGTGCATTATAACTTAACAAGTAGGAGAGAGTGATACATTTAAAAAATGACCCAATGAAAATTCACTAGCCCGTCGGGCCAGTGACTGTGGAGATTTACTAGCCCGATTGGATTTTTACTAGCCACGGGACTCAACCCAAACGAAATACCAGAATATCGGTACTGAGAGATTGTAATCTCAAAT